AAGAGTATATGTATATATTTACATATATTTGAAGTGCAAACGAAAAAAAGTAAATAAGGAAAGTGCCAGTGCTGAACTAAGCTAATAAGAAAGAAAGATAAACCGAAATAAGCTCTACTCAAAATATATGAAAGGCAAATGTGTTTTGACAAATTTTTGACCAACTCAACGAATTAATTTAAACGTTTACGATTCGGTTTCGTACGCCGCAGACACCACTTGGATTACGGGTTTCCGGTTGCGCGTCTCGCTGAACTTACTGCAAGCAAAAAGTTTACGAACAAACGAAAACAAAAAAATTGAAAAACACAAAATGGTGTAGTGGCACAAAATTGGTACTAAAAAAAATTTAAAACAGCAATAAACGCATAAATTAAAAACAAAAATGCGCAAATTAAAGAAATAACATTTTGCCTAGATCAGCAACACCTTGAAGCGTGTGCGATTTCGTTAGTGAGTGAGTGTGCTTGTGTTTTATGCAATTGTGCAAAATATCAAAAAAGCACAAATCGGCGTATTTATTGAAAAGTTAAAAAAAAATTTACCACTGAAACGACCAAACTAAAATTCCAAAACCAACAAAAAAAAAACACCACGCAATGTCAACGAAAATGACGCTAATCTCCAAGACGATCCTCTCCGTCCTCATATTCGTCATAATACCTGTGCTCGGCGCGGCGCTTAGCAAAACAGTACTCTATCAGGCGCCCGACGAGTGCCGCTGGTCCGGCACCAGCGAGGTGGACATCACGCTCGTCTGTCACCTGCGCACCATCAACTCCGAGCTGGAGAACACCAACTTCAGCGTCATACAGCCGCAGAATACGATACGCTTGCGGCTAGAGTGCAACGATGCACTCTTCTTCCAGAGCAGCCTCAGCCCGGACTCGTTCCGCTCGTTGGTGGAGCTGCGCGCACTCACCATCGAATACTGTAAGCTAGGCAACATCACAGAGGGCTCGTTCCGTGGTCTGCAGGATTTGCGTAATCTAACGATACGCACGCACAACGGTGACTGGTCCACCATGTCGCTGGACATTGCCAGCAGCAGCTTTAGTGAATTTCGTCAACTAGATCGCTTAGATTTGAGCTTAAATAATATTTGGCTCATATCAGATGGCATGGTGTGTCCACTGAAGGTGCTGACGCATCTGAATATCTCACACAACGAGATACAGGATATTGGAAATTTTCATTTTAGTGCCTCGCTTAGTACGCGCAAGTCGCGCATATGCGGCTCATCGCTGACACATCTCGATCTGAGCGCCAATAAGATTGCCAACCTGCCATCGGCGATCTTTTCTGGCTTGGGTCGGTTGAGCAACCTGAATTTGGCGCGCAACAGCATGAATTTTATTGCAGATCGCGCATTCGAGGGACTGGTATCACTTTCCGTTGTTGACCTCTCCGGCAATCGTTTGACTTCACTGCCACCTGAGCTCTTCGCCGAAGCCAAGTATGTGAAGGAGATCTATCTGAAGAATAACAGTATTAATGTGCTTGCGCCAGGTTTATTTAGCGATCTGGCCGATTTGCTGGTGTTGGATATGTCGGCGAACGAGCTGAATTCACAGTGGGTAAACGCTGCCACCTTTGTCGGCTTGAAGCGGTTGGTGCTGCTTGATTTGTCTGCAAATAAGATAAGCAAACTGGAAGCCAGCATTTTCCGTTCACTTAGTTCGCTACAGATACTCAAGTTAGAGGAGAACTACATTGATCACATACCGGACGGTGCATTCGCCGATCTGGCCAACTTACACACGCTAATTCTTTCGAACAATCGCATTTCCACTATCGGCCCGCACACGCTGCGTGGCCTCTACGGCATACTTGTCCTCAGTCTCGACTACAATCGCATCGCCAAGATAGACACGCAAGCGCTGCGCAATTGCTCTAGCATACAGGATTTGCATTTGAATGGCAATAAGCTGCAGACCATACCGGACGCACTTAGCGCTGTGCCGCTCCTGAAGACATTGGACATTGGCGAGAATTTAATTACGAACATTGAAAATACCAGCGTTTCGGCGATGAGCAACTTGTACGGCTTGCGACTGACCGAAAATGCCATTGAGTACATACGGCGCGGCGTGTTCGATCGCATGACATCGCTGCAGATACTGAATTTGTCCGGCAACAAAATCAAAAGCATCGAAGGCGGTGCACTGCATCGCAACACACAGCTGCAGGCCATACGGCTGGATGGCAACCATCTGAAAAGCATCGATGGCTTGTTCACTGAGTTGCCAAATTTGGTGTGGCTTAACATTTCGGATAATCGTCTGGAGAAGTTCGACTACTCGCACATACCGACCGGTTTACAATGGCTGGATGTGCGTGCCAACCGCATCACGCAGCTAGGAAACTACTTCGAAATCGAAAATGAACTGAGCCTGAGCACCTTTGATGCCAGTTCGAATATGCTTAGTGAGATCACAGCCAGCTCAATACCGAATAGCGTGGAAGTGTTGTACTTGAACGATAACATGATCAGCAAAATACAACCGTACACGTTCTTCAAGAAACCCAATCTGACGCGCGTCGACCTCATACGCAATCGGCTCACGACGCTGGAGCCAAATGCTCTGCGGCTCTCGCCCATACCCGACGACAAGGACATACCCGAGTTCTACATTGGCCACAATCCATTCCAGTGTGACTGCAATCTAGATTGGCTGCAGAAGGTCAACACCGAGTCACGCACGCAACCGCAACTCATGGATCTCGATCAGATCTACTGCAAGTTGTCGTATGCGCGCGGTAAGACGCACGTGCCGCTCATCGAGGCCAAGTCAAATGAGTTCCTCTGCAAATACGAGGCGCACTGTTTTGCGCTATGCCACTGTTGTGACTTCTATGCATGCGACTGCAAAATGGAGTGCCCGGATCGCTGCGCTTGCTACCACGACCAATCGTGGACATCGAATGTCGTCGACTGCTCGCGTTCCGCCTACGACCGCACACTGCCATCGCATATACCAATGGATGCGACACAGCTCTACTTGGACGGCAACAACTTCCGCGAACTCTCAAGCCACGCATTTATTGGACGCAAACGGCTTAAGGTGCTGCATCTAAATCACTCGCGTATCGAAATTGTGCACAATCGCACCTTCTACGGCTTGCTAGAACTCGAAGTGCTGCAGTTGAACCACAATAACCTGCGCCAGCTGAATGGTAATGAGTTCCAAGGACTGGATAATTTGCAGGAATTGTACTTGCAGCACAATGCCATAGCCAGCATTGACACGCTCACCTTCACCCACCTCTATCACCTGAAGATTTTGCGTCTCGATCACAACGCTATCACAGAGTTTGCCGTTTGGAATTTTCTGCCTTCCTATCTGAATGAGCTGCGCCTAGCAGGTAATCCTTGGTCTTGCAATTGTGACTTTATCGACAAGCTGCGAGATTACGTTAACCGACACGAGGCAGTGCAGGATAAGGTGAAGCTGCGTTGCTCACTACTTACCGGCAATAATGGTACTTTGGCTGGCAGTAATAACAGCGCTCTGCTGGCGCAGCAGCCTGGCCCCGAGCAGCTAGCTATCTATCTCAGCGGCGATCCACTGCTGGATGCACAAACCCACTTCGTCGCTTGTAATGGTGGCCTGCAGGCACCACAGCAGCAATCGCCGCTCGGCGCTGGACAGTACAACGGTGGTATCGGTCATGGCGCAGACCCCAACGACAACGTGATCATCAACGGCAACATGACATCCACGAAAATGATACTCTCGCAGCCGCCTATGCACGAGTATGTACCCATACTTGTAGCCATACTGACCAGCTTTGTCTTCGTGATCATTTGCACGCTGCTCGTGTTCATCTTTCGCCAAGAAATGCGCGTCTGGTGTCACTCACGCTTCGGCATACGGCTCTTCTGCAATGCCAATCGCGATATCGATAAGAACGAACGGGAAAAACTCTTTGACGCCTTCATCTCGTACAGCTCCAAAGACGAGGCATTTGTTTGTGAAGATCTTGCGCCCATGCTAGAACAGGGCGACACGCGTTACAAGCTATGTCTACATCATCGCGACTTTCCGGTGGGCGGCTACATGGCCGATGCCATCGTACAAGCAATAGACACCTCACGACGTACCATTATGGTGCTTTCGGAGAATTTCATCAAGTCAGAGTGGTGCCGTTTCGAGTTCAAATCGGCGCATCAGTCTGTGCTGCGTGATCGACGGCGACGTCTCATCCTAATCGTGCTTGGCGAAGTGCCACAAAAGGACATCGATCCTGAGCTGCGTCTCTATCTGAAAACCAATACATACCTACAGTGGGGCGACAAACTGTTCTGGGAAAAGCTGCGTTTCGCGCTGCCCGATGTGCCCAACAATCAACGGCGCATGCGCAACGCAGGTGGTGGTGTCGCTGGCTGCACCGGCGTAGGCGTACATATGCCCATCGCCCAGCTGCCACCCACACATCATCACCACCAGCATCATATGCTCTCGGCAGGTGGCAGTAGTGGCGTTGGCAGCAACATTGGCGCCGGCAGCCATCACCTGCATCACATGCACCCGCAAGCGGCGCTGCAACACCATCAGCTGCAGCACGCCAGCTTTCGCTCACAAATGCATCACAACATCAACGGCAGCCGGCAGAATCACAATCGAAACAACTCGGCTGCCGCGGCGGCACAGCAACAACATCAACAGCAGCAAGCGGCAATGCTAATGGGTGCGCCAGGACAGTGCGCGCAATTGCCACAGCAGACGCAGCAGCTACTGCCCACAGCGCCGGGAGTGGGCGCGCAACCCAGTAGCATACAACAGCAACAGCTGCCGCCACCGCCGTGCCCCAGTCCGCGCAGCATTACGACGCAGTCATCGGCGACGGGTGGTAGCTCACAGAGTTCCGGTCGTACAATGGGCGTGCACATCTAAGATGGGCCACAGCAAAGGGATGCGGTCTACCGCACGTGTAGTGTGTATGTGTGTGTCATGTAGGTGTACATATGAATGTATGTATGTGTTAAACGCCGGGTAGCACAGGCGATGATGAGTGCCAGGTAACGAGTAGGAGTTGAGTGGCAATAAGTGCTGAAAAGGCTGTAAGAAAAAGCTGCAAATTTTAAGTGTTTAGCAAAAGTGTGGTCATGTGCTAGAGAGGCTTCCGCGAGAGAAAGGCAATGTAGAGTCATTGAAATTTAACCAAATCTTTTGATAATCGTCACCGTCACAGTAGGCTACCAACTCCCAAAAAAGGAGCTGCTGATGCAAATTCTATATAGACTTTGTATTACTTTCAAGATTTCTGATTGAATCGCTAATGATACATCAAACTTAGCTTTAGGTTGGCTCATAGCTTTTAATTTAAATAAAAAATGCTATGGTCATAGGTTCTTAGCATTCACTTTGCACACACACACATACAATGCTCTAACATGATGTGTGCAACATTTGCCTTTCACATTTTGAATTTTCGATCAGCGATTTGCAAACATTTCCCAAATTCAGGTCAAACAAATCGGCGCAACAAAAATATCGGCAGCTGAAAGGCAGTACAAAGGCAGCAAAAAATAGGAAAGAAAACAAAGAAGAGCTGATTGCAACACTTGCATTTAAATACATGCATATATACAGATGTATGTACATATATACTCATATGTATGTATGTATACCAAAATCTGCAAATAAATGTAAACGTATCTACATTTGGTCTATTTTGAAAACAAAAAAAAAGTCCCAAAAATCGACATACAATAGTCGAATACGGTTGGCATTGAACATTTACTTCGTGCAACATGACGATTGGCAACATGTTGCCATTACTTTGTGCATTTTGCACTTTTTCGTTGTGTTTCTTAAACATATTTGTTTGTGTGTATTTGTGTGCAGCGTTGCATGCCTATGCGATTGCTCTTTTATTTTTTTTTTATTTTTTTTTTTTAAGAAAGCAGTTAGTCACGTTAAAGTTGTCGCCTGCTTGTTGACTGAATGACCAACGAACCGAACACTGACTGAGCGGCTGACTGATGTTTTATTAGGCTGTAGTTAAGTTCGATTTTAGGGATTGGCTTAATTTGCAAGCTACTTGCAAGCAGTTGAGATTTAGATTTAGATTTTGGGTTACTCGAGCACAGCTAGCAACATTTAAAGCGAGTGCCCGTAGCGGAACCTCTCAGAAAAAAAAGCAAGACGTTTTAGAAAATGAAGAATTCTAAGATCTATTTTGGGAGGATATTTATTTAAATGTATGAATATATCTCACAGATAGTTTTTTTGTGAAACTACCAGCTTCTAAAGGCTTCAAAGTCAATGCAAGTTAATATGTGACGTCATCAAAAAAAAAACAACTCAGATCCTCTACAACATACATAATTAAAAACTGATCCACATTCTTTTTAGCCTTACCTACAAATTCACAGACTCTTATTGCTCTAATTTCGGGTATATTATATAAATTTTCCAATTCCCGCAACAAAAACTATGCTGTCTTATGGATGAAAGGCACAAACTGAAAAAAAATAAACAAAAAGTGTACAGAAAACCGAAACGCACACAAAAATGTGCATATTTTACATGACAACAACAACAAGAGTCGCAACCACTTCACCACAATAATTTTATGTCGGCCATGGCAATGGATCTGTGACTGCGCATGCTGCCGCCACAATCAAGTTGTATCGCATAACCGCGCGCAACCGTACGCTGTCGCCTCGCCGCTGCGGCCGATACGTAATGCGATGATTGGCAATATTGCTGCTGCCCGCTTAGTACTGGCTAGCACTGTTTTTGTTCTTGTTGTTTGCTGATTATTATGCACGTTTTACATTAGCAAGACGAGAGTGTTGTTGCAGTCGTACCTGCTTTAGTTGTTGTTTTAGTTTTATATCAAGTTGTTTTTCTTACTCACTGCCCATTATGAGTTTCCTGTGCGCCATAGTGATACAGAAAATTGATGTTGCATGCAACAATCAGGGGAGAAAAAAACACGAATCCAAAAAGCCAGACGAGAGCAAAACCACTAGACACCGTACAGAAAAGTTCAATGCAAAATTGTGTAAAAAGCAGTAAGAAAAGAAGAAAAAAGAAGGCCAAGAAATTATGTACAAGTAGACGGACGCAAAAACAAAGTGGCCGCTACAAGCAAAAAAAAAAACATGCAGACGAAGTTGGCCGGCTACAGAAAATGGCATAATAAAGACACAACAACAAGAACATCAACACAAAAAAGGTAACAAAACACACACACACACATAAATACAATTGAAAAGGTGGTAACTGCATAGCCTACAGACTTAGTTATGGTGAAGAGGTAGAAGCAGAGAGCCGTACGCGTCAAACAGTCACTTGGCTCGAAAGTGAGCCAGACAGACAAACATGCAGACAGCTGAAGACGAACGACAACCCAAAACAGACGCAGAGTTGATTAGGTAGCAAGAAACGGCCAAATTGATCGCCACATAGCAGTTGGCAGGCAGCAGCATGATCGCCGCGCAGAGTCAAATTCGAACCGGACCGGATTGTGCCAGGCATTGTGATGGAATAGTGTTGAAGATCAGTCAAAGATGAAGGTAGACAAGAAGTGTAGAGTATATGAAAGTTGAAAGAAAACAGTAAACAAATGTATCGTAGCAGGAGACAAAGACTATGAGAAGGCGAAAGTAGGTGCTGCAGATGAACGAGGGGAGACAGAAAGGTAGAAGAAACAAAATTCAAAAAGAACAAGAACAGGCATACATCAAATGCCAACATGAACACGAACCAGCTCGACAAACAGACAGTTGGGCAAACGAACGTGCCAGAGCGCCCAAGAGTGGCTTCAAATAAATATCGATCGTTGTTAACGAAAACGCGCAAAACCTAAGTGACTCACATATATTCGCCATTGGTATAGTCGTTGTATCCCTGCAGTAAAATTTAGAGACAGTCTGGCAAAGCGCTAGTTCCGAATTACATATCGCAGGACTATCTCTGAACTGGTGCAAAACGGCTGCAGAGCGAGACAGTTGAAACTTGCGGTGTAATGTACCTAGCTCAGCGAGAAGACGTCCGACTCAAGCGTCGTTGCTCGCGCGTTCCAATCGCGGTGGAGGCAGTTTTGAGTTTTCAGATTTAATAAATGTAATTCGTTGCGTGCCGCTTACATTTTTTTTTTATAAAATATGCAACAAACATGGAATCTGTAAAAGGAAAGAAAAAAACGGAAAACATTTTCTGATAAAAGAACTGTCCAAACTGGAGCCGGTTAAAAAGTAGTTGCAAAGTAATGCGCTGGGCGACAATTGCCACCGCCAATGGCATCGTCGCGTAAAAGTGGGCAGTTAAAAGCCTTGCTTGGATATTGAGTTCTACGCTAGTTCAGAGCTAGTCAGATTTTCTACAGGGATTGTATGTACAGCAGAACGCGTTGTTCACGAACTGAGTGAGACTGACTGCGCGAGGCACATTGTCGATTGAATTTCGTTCCGTTTATTGCATGAAATAAGAGGGGTATTCACAATGAATTCATTTCTTTGTCACCTTGGTATATTTCGTATATCTTTTTATGCATATGGCAATATAGGAATAAGCTGCTTGCATTTGGCCAAGTTTATTCCTCAGAAGATAAATTTAAATAATAAGTGAGTGGTTCCTTACTCACAAACAGGATAAGAACCTAATAACAAGGAGGAGTTGCTGGTTTCATTAAGCACCATTCTTTGATTTAATTTTTTAAATTCTATAATTCCTCTCTTTGCTGATTGCTGCTGGAAAAATAAAGAGACATACATAGCAGTTACGAAATATGTACCATTTGACAGACCAACAGGAATAAAATGAAAGAGTCCAAGTAACGAATTTGACGTGAATACCCCTATCATTTTATTTTTCCAATTTCTGTTTTTTTTTGGGGTTACGCTCATCTTGGCCGTAAACATGCAAGCGAGACATGAAAAACATGGAAGTAAAGCAACTGCAGGGCATTGAACAAATTAAATAAAAAAGGCGCAATGCGTAGTTCTTCAAACAAACTAAGAAGCAACGGCGAAATTAAGGAAATAAATGTGATCACCAAAAAATTGTTGGGAAAAAGTAGTGAAGAGAAGGGCGAAATTTATTTAGGACATTGAGTATGTCTGGGGAAGGAGTTTTAAGACATGGAAACTGAAAAAGTGAGAGGTTTTTAATAAAAGATAGTCCAATTTTTGGCGGAAAAACTTGACTGAAAGCTTAAAAAAGCCCACGAAAGCTAGAGTTTTCCTACCTTACTTTTTTATGCGTTAAAGTGTGCATTTGCCAAAAAGAATTTTTTTAATTGCTTTATAAATCGAAAGTTCGATGAGAGTGACTTTATTTTCTATGAATAAAACCATAAAAGTATAAAAAAATATCCACATATTTTCACGTTCATATGTGGGTTGAGTGTTTGCTTTGCACTTGCCAACAACAATGTGCAGTTTTGCACATTGAAGTTCTTAACTAATCGCTCAAAACAAATAAATGCTGAACCTTACCATGAAATATCAAACTTCTTCTCCAATAGGTGGTGTAGCACACAAAATTAGCCAACAACAATATTTTTATATTGAAGCTCAAACAAATAAAAGCTTAATCTAAGCATGAAAGCTGTGATTTAACTATTAAAGTCTATTAAAGCTGCAGCCTCATCACAAAAGCTTTGCCATACGATTAAACAGATTTAAAACTCATACATAATAAATAAATAGCCATAAAAAATAAAAATCTCAAATTTCAAATACATTTTTTTGCCGAAAAGTTCTTGCCTTGCGGAAAGCTTTTCATATAATCAAAGGCCTCAAAGCCTGTCTGCTTAATTAAAAGCCGTGGCTTATGCAGCTTTTGGTGACAGCCGCGTGCAGCGAAAGCTCTTAGTGAGAAAAATTTACATGACATCGAAAACTCAGAAATACGAAAATAAGACAAATTGTTTCAAAATAGTAGACATAATTTCCAATTACTGTTTGAATTAGTTCTTTTCCCTTTTTCTCACAAAAGGTATCATTGCCTTTCTCGACAGCCCCATCGCAACACTAGATACTAAAAGCTTCAACGCAGCTCATTACTTTGCACTTAAAGCTGAGCAACAAATTGAAAGCAGTAACTACTTAATAAAAGGGCATCCCACATATTTTTTTTTGTAAATACTACAGCACTCACTCTTATTCGAATTTCACTCATCTAACCATTGCACCATCGGCATAGAAAATGCATTTATTATACACTGCAGATGTAACTAATTTAACTGAGAAATACGATTACCTTATAAGTTTAGTGTATAACAACAAATCATTGTGATATGTATGTAAAGAAGAAATAGATATATCTATGTATATGTATATGTATTTAAACTTTATATTACAATAGAAAAGTGAAGAAACTACGATTACTATTAGATATCTATGTATTTATGTGTGTAAGTAAGAAAAAATCACTTAGCTTTTAAGCCAACCAACATGCTACGTCCTACAATTTAATTTAATTTTAGTAAACAAAAACTAAAACAACAGAAAAAGAAACGCAAATGAAAAACAAAAGCCGGAAAGTGAATGAAAATAAAAACAAAAAATTTAATTTTGTAACAAAAGTCATTAACACTGCTGTAAATAATCGAAGTAATCGAGCATTGAATGTGGAAAACCGTCCGACGCGCCGGTATTTACCTACCTTTTTATGTGCGCTAATGCTTTTTTTTTTTAATTACTGTTACCTTTACTCTCTCAAACTCAAAACTCAAAATTCATAGGCGTACTTAAGCGGCGAAAGTTTTTCTTGCAAACTCGCTTACACATACGCATACATATATATGCAAATGTATGCATTTGTGTGATTATGTGGGTCCTTTGTATGGAAATGCGCTCGCCGAATGCCATATTATGTAATAAAAAAAAATAAATAGACTACAGACTGTGAAGTAGAAAAGTAAGATGTTTAAGTTGCTTTTTACTCAGTTCAAGGCAATAAAGCATAGTAAACGAGACAATAAAGCATTTGTTGTGGGGCTAAGTGGCGGGTTCATATGCGACTGTAAAGCTACCTAAGCTTTGATAAGTGGAAACTGATTTGATCACAAAAAAAAACAAAAAAAACAATCGAAAAATGCAAAAATCCTCCGAAACTAAAGTTAACTGACTGATTACTTTTAGTAAGTGGCACTTAAATATTAATACAAAAAATTATGTTAACTAGCAATTTAAATACAAAATAAGAGCAAAATTTAGTTGCATTTTATGAAAACAAAACAAGTAATTGATCAAACCGTTTTTAAAGACATTGAAGTTGCCACATAACTTGTTGTAAATATGCGTACCTACTTAAATTTAAATACCTCTATTTTCCCCATCCACTCAATTGGAATTGTCTTATTACTTAAAAATACACTCAAGCTAACCTCCATCTCCAATCCTTTATTTAGTTTTGTTTTAATCGTATTTGGTTTTTATTTTGATTTAAGCTTGCAAGTTAACTAGCTTAGTTTAGTCTGGGAAAATAAATGACTATTATTATAATATATTAACTATGCATTATTTTAATTTAAACATATTAGATAAAATCAACAAAACCTAAGTCGTTGAACTTGTTGTTTTATTTTTAGTATATATAAAACCAATTGTATTATAATAAATATAGGCAGTTGTATAATTGTGCAAGAAGAAAAGCGAAAAGACGAAAAATCACATAAAAATATTAAATCAAATAAAACTTTTTTATTAAAAGAGAAAATTATAAAAAACAAAAACTTTGTGTGTTACTATTTATTTGTTGTTGTTTTATCACTATTCCAGGTATAAGGCGAAAAGTTTAAGAAGCAACAGAGCAAGAGGAAATGCAATCTGAAGGATCTATGGGTCGTCTAAAGAGAGCTTTTAAATTGATTCTAAAATAACTTCATTGTCATTTATTACGACTGTGGTGCAGGCACCGAAATTAACCGTTAAATATCTTGATTTTTATTTTGAAATCGTTCCAAAATCGTTATTTTTCAATTTTTATTTCTAGCGTAACGTCATAAAGTACTCGTAAAACTATGCTCCAAAGCAAATTGAGGAAACCGTATAGTGAAAGATACCCATATAAAATATAGAAAAAATACAATTTTTGCTCCCATTTTGATGCACTTTGTTATCTGAACAATTTTTTCTCACGTTTAATACTTTTGTATGGGAATCAGTCATTTTGATTTTGATTTGTTTTATGTTAG